CCCGGCACGCCGGGCCCCCACCCCACCGGACACGGACCCTCGTTCTGCAGCACCGGGGATGTCCATCACAGCGCCTGCCGAGCCCCCGTGGGCAGCAGCGACCACGGCCCCACTCGCCCCATCTCTGCCCGCCCCACGCCGCACCCCACCAGTGCTGCCCGGGATATTTATTAGGGACCCCCCGCGCCCTCCCGCCGCCAACGCCGGAGCCGTTCCCTCCTCTCACCGGCCACCTCCCACCCGCTGTCAGAGGATGGAGCTGGCCGGGCTGGGGGATCGGAGGACGCCGCCGTGTCCGTAGATGACTCCCAGGGAGCCGGTGGCCAGCGGGACCCATGCTTGGACCAGCCTGTGGTGGGCACGGAGCCAGCCCCACGCCAGCCTCTCCCTCAGCATCTCCATCACCCACTTCTCCTGTGGGGAACGGCCCTGGGCTGTCCCTCCCTGGGAGGGGAGCTTGGGGGACCCAGCCCCATGGGGACGAGGATGAGGCAGGAGCTCCCGTGCCACCCCACAGCAGCCGGAGGGTGACCCAGCACCGTGTCCCCCTCCTGCCTCCCTGCCCGGTGGTGGCAGCTTCACGGAGCTGCTTTCTTGGGCCAGGGGCTGCAGCATCAGCTCCCCCAGGCAAGTGGAGCAGCCCAGTTCACCCCAGGCACCAGGACTGGGAGCTGCCGGGGGTCTGGTGTCCCACGGAGGGTGTCCCTGGGATGCTGTGTCTGTGTCAGGACGGGAAGCAGCCTTCCCCACCCCCCCACCCTGCGCCCCAGCCCTTCAGCGGGGATTTCACCACCAGCACCAGCGTTTCCTCCCCACTGAGACCCGCTGGGGCGGGTGGGGGGCTCACAGCAGCACCCATGGGTGCTGAGCCCTGCCCAGACCCCGCAGCAGCCAACACATCTCATGGGTGTTTGGCAAGTGGCTCCTGCTGAGCCCACCTCAGTGGGCTGGGGGCACGGTCCTGCCCTGCCCGGCATGGGGGCTGCCTCTGGGGGGGTCCCGTCTCCTGCCAGCCCTGTCCCAAACCCCCAGGGTTGCTTTTGGTGCCCAGTGCCCCACGTCAGCCCCCCTGAGCCGGCAGTGGCTGTGCAGTCGGGCTGGCAGTGCTGGGTCCCTGCATCCTGGGGACACAGGAGCTTTGGGCAGTGGCCCGGCTACCAGCCAGGGCAGCACAGGGGTCCTGGACCCAGTGTCAGTGGGTCCCTGCTGCCAAGGGTGGCCGGGAGAGTCCCCAGGGACCACCTGGGCCCCCGGCAAAGCGCGTGTGGAGCAGCCCTCACACTGCCCAGCCCCCCGGGATGTGGGTGACGGAGCAGCCAGGGATGGGGCTCAGCCCCCCAAGGCCTTCCCTGCCCCTCAGCCCCATCATGTGAGCAGTGATCCCCCTCCCTGACATCCCCATTGCCCCCAGTTACCTCCCAGGCTGCAGTTTTCCCCCCAGGTCTGCAGGGATAGGGGTGTGGGCTGGGGGCTGCGGGGGGCTCACGGTGCTGCCCTCCTGTGCCAATCCTGGCCCCAAGCCCCAGCCGGGCATCGAAAGCCTCTGGGAGAGGCAGAGCTGGGGAAGGGGGTCTAGGCTGGCACCCCCGGGGGTGCGGGGGAGTCTCTCCCATGGACAGGCATCCCTGGAGCCCCATTGCCACAGAGCGGGGGCTGGATGCCGTGGGGCATCTGACCCATTGATCTTGGGGGGCTGGCTTAGGGCTAGGTCCCCAGTGGGGATGCACATCACCTCCTGCCACCCCCTTGCTGGGGGTCACCACCACTCACCCCATCACACCCTGGGTCCCACAACCTCCCCCGACCCCAAGCCGGGCCCCCCTCCCACCCTT